CTGTAAAGATGAAAATTATAAAAAATTTTATAAAGGAATTGATAAGATAATAAGTTGTTTGAAAAACGAAGAGGATTTAAAAGAAAAAAGAAAAAAAACGGAGAGAATGTGATCAGGCAGGAGACTAGAACAAAGCCATACACTAGAGATTTAGGGTGTATTTTGATCTGTTAGAAGAAACTGTATCTCAAAATTTTAAAGAGAGCACAACTTATATATATATGCCAAAAATAAGGGTAACTACTATGAAGGGATAGAATATGACTCTAAAAATGAAAAATAAAAATGTTTTTTAAAAAAGGGATTGATAAGATGTTGGTTGAAAAGGGGAAAAAGAAAAATTCAAAAAAAAAAGACAGTTAAAAAAATTAACTTTGAAAGACTGAAGAATCATGGTAAAAAAAAGCCATGGATTCTATGTGCAGTATTGCCCTAGCGCTAGAGTTCTGCCGTTCTCCTTGATCGGTAAACTTGGTCTTGGTTGGCTGTTCGTGCTGATCTTCTGGTGGAGGGGCCTGTTGCCGTGGTTCCCAAATGTCTTTGCCGGAGGCGGAATTGCCCCGCCCTTGTCGGTCCGGGCTAAGTAATCTGCTCGGGTTTGCTCTCGGGAGCTTTTGTTTCCTGCAAACTTTCCGTACAGCTTTGGGGGCCGAGAGTGAAAATGGTGGCCTCCCAATCTCCGCCCGGAGGAGCCGAGAACTCGGGGCCCACTCCTCAGTGCGCCCCCAGAGAAAAGCAGTCACTCCCGTGTCCCCGGTCTCCGGCCGCACTCCGTGCTCACCCGGCCCGTGACCGAGCATTTCTATCTCTGGCACCCGACCCTGTGTGGAGTCTCCAAACCCAGCAGATCCCTGCGGTGCGCTCCCGCGCCGCTCCTTCCCGAGGAGGAAGGGGAGTCTCCCCGGCTCTGCCGCTTGTTGGGTCCCTGCTGGAGGAGCAGTGGCCCGACTGAGCGGCGGATCACAGCCTATGGCCACCCCAAGCTGAGAGGCCGCGCCTCGGCTCCGTCTCTGCAGCCGGCTTCCCCGCTCCGATACCTGGGAGCTCTGCCGCACTCAGGCACCCCCGGTCTTTCTGTGACCCCGAGGGTCCTGAGACCACACTGTCCTATCGAGGGTTCCACCCCCTGCTTCGCCACTGGAGCGACGTCCCTCAGCAGAGCCAACTTCTAAAAAGTTCCAATTTCATGCTCCGCTGCTCTATCACTTGCCGCTAGCGGCCGATGGAGGCCCCCTCCCCCGCCGTCTATCCTCCCAAATACCGCCTGGGATTCATTTCTCTGCGCGTCCTACTTTCCAGAAAGCGGTCGCTTTTCTTTTCAGAGAGTTGTTGCTATTCTTTTCTTTGATCTCCTGTTGAGTTCGTAGGTGTTCAGAATGGTTTGATCCCTATCCAGCTGAATTCCGGAGACCAGACGAAATCCAGGTCTCCTACTCCTCCGCCATCTTGCTCCACTGCCCCCCCCCAAGTGGAGTCTTGTGGACAGCGTATATTTCTCCCACCAATGATGTGTGATAATCCACAGAGTATTGCCAACCAGGGAAGCTCATCCAGGTCTTAGTGTTCAGAAATTTTATTAGGAGTTGGTGACTTAGACACAGTTGACCCACCTGCATGGCTAATCATAGTCTCCAGTCCCTCCAGAGGTTAGGCTGATCCCATGTGGCCCAAAGCCTCAACCATAAATCACATTGTTAGCATAGACTCTCTGACATGGCCAAGGACCCCAGATAAACAAAGACCTTTTTATCAGTCAGGACATTCCCGAGGCTACCTCTTAGGAGCTGGGGGCACAGGACCAAACCTTTCTTTGGGCAAGGTTAATCCTTTAATGCACCTTACCAAAGAGAAATGAAAACTTATGTCCACACAAAAACTCATACACAGATGCTCACAGGAGCATTATTTCATAATAGCCAAAAAGTGGAAGCAAGTCAAATGTCCATCAGGTGATGAATGGATAAACAAATGTGGTATATCCATACAACGGAACAGTATTTGGCCACATTTTTAGAAGAATGAAATTCTGACACATGCTACAACATGGTTGGACCTTGAGAACATGCTAAGTGGAAAAAAAAAACAGACTAAAATGCAACATGTTGTATGGTTCCTCCTATATGAAATGTCCAGAATAGGCACATCTACAGAAACACAAATTTAGATTAGTGGTTGCTTGGGGCTGGGATTGGAAACAGCAAGCGACTACAGGTAGACATGAGATTTCTGTTTTGGAGTGATGAAAATGTACTAGAATTATGTAGTGGTGATGGTTGCAAAACTCTGTAAACATACTAAAACCATTGAAATGTATACTTAAAATCGACTTTTATGGCACATAAACTATATCTCAATAAAGCTGTTATTTTAATGGGCATCATAATACTTCCTCTGTCACTTAAGTGGTTACAGTAGAAATAAATGACATGTATATAAAAGCATTTTGTTTAATAGAATGTTCCAACTATATGTTTTTGGAAAAAAGTAAATAGGTATTTGATTGGCACCAAAACTTGGTTGGCGTTTCTCCTTTACCACCAAAATATACAGACCTTCAGCTATAAATATCATAGAATGACCTTTTATTGCGACTGGATGGATTTTATGGCAGTTTCCCAAGGGCATTCCAATTTTCATCTAAGTACACAATTTTTATTCATGTATTCTTTTATTTTGAGTAATTTGTAGTTCTGTCTCTACATATGTCTATAAATTTGAACTGACATTTCAGGTTTTTAGCTTCCTTTTTTTTTAAATTTTATTCATTTATTTGACAGAGACACAGCGAGAGAGGGAACGCAAGCAGGGGGAGTGGGAGAGGGAGAAGCAGGCTTCCCTCGGAGCAGGGAGCCCGATGCGGGGCTCGATCCCAGGACCCTGGGATCATGACCTGAGCCAAAGGCAGACACTTAATGACTGAGGCACCCAGGCGCCCCTTTTTGGCTTCCTTTTTTAAAGATTTTATTTATTTAAGAGAGAGAGAGAGAGAGAGAGCATGAGCGGAGGGAGGAGGCAGTGGGAGAGGAAAGGGACTCCCCCACTGAGCAGGGAGACCGACATGAGGCTCAATCCTAGGACCCTGGGATCATGACCTGAGCTGAAGGCAGATGCTTAACTGACTGAGCCACCCAGGCACCCCTAGCTTCCTATCAGTAATAGTTTTATGTCACACATCCATCCCCTTGAATAGGAGACAGTCCTTTTGCTTTCTCTTCCCATATTTTTATCAGTTACTAAACAGCGAAAGAGCACTATACCCAACACTTTTAATCTTTTGCTAAAGAATGCCTTTTGCTTTGATATGTTCTCTAAATGACTGGCTAGTTTCTTAGCCAAGTGATAACAAAATGTGCCCAAATAAAAGTACATTTTTGGCTTTCGTTATCATCATTTTCATGAAGTTTTTCAAATACATGGACATTTTAAGGATACAGATTTCAGTGTAAGGTAACAAACTTTTCCAGTAGAGCTGTCCAAAGCTGGGGTGGGCTGTCTCAGGAATGCAGTTTAAGTGGCTAGATTATCACTTACTTGAAAAGTGGAAGGAGTTGGGGGGGCGGGGCAGTGGAGGTAGAACATCAGGTACTCTAGAGGGAAGGACAAGCCGTAATAAATGTGGAGCTGGATAAGATGATCTTAGAATTCTATTTCATCTCTGGGATTCTTTGTCCTGTAAAATTAGCCGAAATGGAATCTGTCCCCATTAAAGCTTTGATGGTTACCAGTATTATCTTAGGTGTTGAATTTCTCCATCTATTATAAGGAAACTTGTCAGGGTTTGCATTTTTTTAGTCTTTATTCGTGCCCAAGGTCATTCCCTATTTGTAGTTATCAAAAACCCAACATACAGGTAATTGAGCAGTCTGCTGCCCAGTTGCAGGCTTCCAAAAGAGTTGAGACTTGACTTTCACCATGGGAATTCCCACTATTTTTAGAAACAAATCCTCCATTGCTTTCTCTCCTTCCTCTGTGTAAGCATATACATGCACCCGAGCATTTAAAATCTTTGGAAGGAAAGCTGTAGCATTGTAACCAAAACACACGGTAATTGAGACTAAGTGAAGCTCAAGAGTACAGCAGTCCCGGGCTGGCTTCTTCCTACTCTGCCACTCTGTAAATGCACCCTCAGTGCATGCTACTTAACAAAGGTGTTGCATCTATGAATGGCAGAATGTTATAAAGTTAATCTCAGGTTGTCTGTAGCCCTAGTTTCCCATAGAACTTTCTGCAGTGATGAAAATTCGTGCTGTCCAGTATGGTTGAAATGTGGCTAGTGTGACTAAGGAATTGAATTTTTAATTGTATATAATTTTAATTAATTTAAGTTTAAATAGCTACTTTTGGCTAGTTGGCTTCCATGTTGGACAGCACCCCTCTGTAAGAACAATTTCAGGAAGTTAGGCTACTTAGATATTGGAGAGCCTGTGGCCTTTTTAGAACCAGTAGATGCTCTGGCAATAATACTGACTTTGTTTTTTCTTTTGTTTATTTAGAAGCGTTTCTTTTTTTTTTTTTTTTTTTTTTAGAAGCATTTCTTGAGCACCTGCTTGTTCAAAAGTTGATGGCAATGCAAAAATGAATGGCACAGCTTCTGTCTTTAAGAGCTCTGGCCAGGGATTTGACATTTACTATACTGTAGGTACAGTGTGGAAAGTATCATTATAGAAGCACATAATAAGGTGATGTGGGGGACACAGAGAAGGTACAGCATGACTCTTCAGAGGGCTCAAGGAAGACTTCTCAGAAAAACTTAGCGCTTGAGCTAAAACCTGAAGGAGGAGTTTGAACTTTTTTTTTTTTTTTCCCCTCTCTTCTTTCGGTTTTCTATAAAGCAAATTTCCTGGGTTTACCTGTAAAGCATCTGCCATGGTCAGTTTAGGACCAGCTCTCTCCGTGCCTTTCCTTTGCTTCCTGTGAGCTCTCAGTTGAAGCCCAGGGATATAGGGTGTCCCTTTCCGTGCCCCAGCCCTGCTGCCTTAACACACCTTCTCTTCCTACAGTGCTCTGTGAAAAGCTGCATCACTGCCTTCCACGTCACCTGCGCCTTTGAGCACAACCTGGAGATGAAGACCATCCTAGACGAGGGGGACGAAGTGAAGTTCAAGTCATACTGCCTCAAGCACAGCCAAAATAGGCAGAAACTCGGGGAGGCCGAGTACCCCCTACACAGGGCTGCAGAGCAGAGCCAGGCCAAAAGTGAGAAAACCAGCCTGCGGGCACAGAAGCTTCGGGAGCTGGAGGAGGAGTTCTATTCCCTGGTCCGCGTGGAAGATGTGGCCGCAGAGCTGGGGCTGCCCACACTGGCCGTGGACTTTATCTATAACTACTGGAAACTGAAGCGGAAAAGTAACTTCAATAAGCCGTTATTTCCTCCGAAGCAGGAGGAGGAAAACGGCCTGGTGCAGCCAAAAGAGGAGAGTATTCACACTCGCATGAGAATGTTTATGCATCTACGGCAAGACCTAGAGAGGGTAAGGTGATCAGCTGTGGCTACTGTTAGGGTCTCGGTCTGCATAGAAATGGAGGCCCTGCTTCTAGTTAGTTGTTTTCTAAAGGTCAACTCATTTATAGTGTGGGCTTCTGTGTCCTTGCTTATCTTCTGATGGCACAGTGGCCCCAAACATTAGACTCTGTTTAAACTTTTGACAGGCACTTTCAAGGGAATTAGAGAACCCTCACTTATATGCTGTATGAACTTTAAATCTGAAATAAATTCCCATTTGGTTTACTTTTTATTCACTGTTGAGCCTAAATTGGCTCAGCTATATTTTACTGACACATGAGACTATGGACTGAAGAGAGAATGGATTTTGTTGAGGGAAGAACTAGATCAGAGTTTCTCAGGCTCAGCACTACCGACATTCTGGCTGGATAGTGCTTTGCTGTAGGGGACTGTCCTTTGTTGTGGGGGATACTGTAAGATGTTAGCAGCATCCCTGGCCTCTACCTGCCGCCAACAAATACCTGCCCAACATACCCAGCTGTGACAACCAAAAATGGTTCCAGATTACCAAAATGCCTCTTGGGGAGTCAAAATCGCCTCTGGTTGATACTCTACACCAGATAATTCCACTTAACTCACTTATTCAAAGATAAGTTAGGCCCTGTGTTTACCCTAGAGAATTTTATAATCAAGTATAATTATAGAGATGGCTTGTTTTTCTCTCTGCTACCAGAATTTGGAAGGGAATGGATTTGGCTCACTTTGTAAAATTGAACTCACACATCTATAGCACTTACTATGTGACAACGCTGTTCTAAGCTTTTCATAAATATTAACTCATTTAATCCCAACATGCCGGTGAAGAAAGTACTATTGTTAGCCCTATTTACAGATGAATAAACTGGGGCCCAGAAAGGTGGAGTGATTTGTCTAGGTAGGGCGGGGAGTACTGGAGCGTGAGGGTTGCCGCCTTGTGACTGGAGATTTGGCCGAGCTGGAGATGTAAGCAAAGAAGCCACTTTCAGTCCTCCCAGCAGACTTTTATCCTGCTGGTCCAGCGCTGCTTAGAAAATTGTACTGGACCCGGCAGCACCCTTCTTTCATTCAGGGATCTGAAGGGAAGGCTGAAATGTTCAGTCCTCACCCCGTCTTCCCAGCTCGGCTGTGCAGATAAACACTGGGCCCATCACATCGCAGGGACAGGAGGTTTCACGAGGCGGCTCAGGAGCGTCTCGCTTGTGCTGCTGATTGATGTGGGGACCGTGACCCCCTGACTGCCGTGCTACGTGAATTCCTGTAGAGTGGCCCTCTCGCAGCTTCTGTGCTCGGTCTTCTCTCCCCAGCCACCCCCGTACCCCACTTGATTTTAGTTGTCTTCACTTTAGCTAAACAGTTTATAATTGTCAGGTTTATGTAACATGACAAAAATCTCTGTTTGCTGCGGGTTGGGCTTTCAGGTTCGAAATCTGTGCTACATGATAAGCAGGCGAGAGAAGCTGAAACTATCACAGAACAAAATACAGGAACAGATCTTCGGTTTGCAAGTCCAGCTTATTAACCAGGAAATTGCTGCAGGTAACCTTATATTAAAGATGTCCTGATATAGACTCTGGTTACATCCTACTTTAACAATTTAAATTTTATGTCAATTGTTTTACTTAAAAATGTTTTAAAATTCTTGTCAAATATCTCATTTGCTCTAGTCCAACCCTGATAGAATGTGGCCCATTTCACTGTCAACTCATGAGGCAAAAATTCCCAAGGTGGGGTTGGGGGGCTTGCAGGTTTAGGGCAGATAACCTAGGTGTGAGACAGATACCAAGGGCCACTAGTTAAAGCCATGAAATTATTCTATAACCATCAGATTCATTTAGGAATCAGTAGGATAGGATCTAATCCTAGTTTCCAGAAAACGTTTAATTCCAAGGTTACTCATCTTAACAGTAATTTGTTAAAACAAACCCTTAGCCAGTAGTTAGGAGATCTGGGTTCTGTCTCTTCTTTACTAATATTTGTCGAGTACCTACTGTGGACTAAGAACTGAGCTAGAGAGCAGAGCCGTCAGCAAGCCAGAATCCCTGCCTGTAGGGTATGCTGCCCACTTGGTGAGAGAGACAAGTGAGCATAATTACAGTGCCCTAAGCATGGGGAGCTTGGCTGCAATGACAGTCATGTTCGGTGACGTTTGTAACCTCCCTGTACCTCGTTTAATACAGAGGTTGGTGGCAGAGCCTGGGCAACCAGGAGTCACTACGCAGGGTGCACAGAATCTAGCTCCAGCTAAGGACCAGCCATAGAGTAAGAGAGACACGCAGAAATGAGGTGTCACGTAGGCATCAAAGGCTCTGGGGTGTTTGTAAGTATCGTGGGTCACAGCAGAATGCTATAGCAGGGGGGAGCGGGGCTGCTCAGCCACAAAGGCACCAGGACAGACAAGGCAAACCAAAGGACAGCAGGGAGGGGCCCCCGCGTGCCAAGGAGGTTGGCCCTGAGACCATGTGGCTTCTGATGGGTGGGGACCAGCCCTGTGACTGCTGTGTGCTGTCAGCAGGTGGCAGCCCCTGGCGGAGACGAGAGCTGGTAGTACTCACCACGCACCCTCAGGGAACACGCGCTGCCTAGGCACCTGCTGGCTGGCCTCTCGTGGGCCAAGGTCAAGTCCCTCTGCAAGGAGGAATTGTTCGGTAGTGCTTTTTTTTCATTTCAGAGCACTCCCAGTAATAGAGAAAGGAAGATCTGTTCTAAATATGATCATAGGATGACATAACCAGGTAACCGATTGCCAGTACTCCCCGGGCCAAGCCCAGAGCAGGCCATGGGCAGGAATGTTGTGATTTTTCTCTGCTGGCCATGCCACTGCACAGCCTGCCCCACACCTCCGTGATGGCCATTCATTGTCAGGAAATTATTTTAGGTTCAGGACATAAAATACACGGGAACCACCCACTGCCATTTCTGCTGTCGCCAGGTTAAAGCACATATCCACCTACTCCTCGCCCATCAGAGCCGATGCTATGTCCTTGAGGGTTGATATTTGACTTGCTCTAGGAAGGACAGAAGAGATTGGGGGGTAGCGTCTGCAACTTCTCTTTAAGACACATCCCAAGTGTTGTACAGTACTCAGACGGGCACACAAATAGGGAGACCCTGTCCTAAACCACGGCTAGTGAGGTTCCTTTCAGAAATGGAGGGGGCAGAGCTGGGGATATAGGGGGTGGCACACTCGTCTTTGGGATCACTTTACAGACTGGGAGGGCAGAGGGGAGGAGGCCGAGAGCCACACGGTGAATGGTGGCATCGCTGAGTTTTCCACCTGTGGTACCCCCGCCCCACCTCTCGTCCAGCCTGCTCCAGCCTCGGTGCCACGATGCACACCCAGAGCGAAACCGGGGCTTGTCAGACATTTGCAGGAGCGGCTCGGTGAACCCACTGTGCTGCAGTAAGCATGCGCGCTGATCTTTAAATCAGGTGTTAACAATCAAGCTTTCTTTTTGCTTTCAGGACTTCCTTCGACAAATGCACTAGAAAACTCACTGTTTTACCCACCACCAAGAATTACCTTAAAGCTAAAAATGCCCAAATCCGCTCCAGAAGACTGCCGAGACAGCCCCACAGAGCCTGAGCCCGGACCCCTATCCTCTGCTAGCAGCACCCCTGTTCACAGCATAAGGAGCGCGCAGGTGCCTCAGGAGTCACTAGAAATGAGAACGAGACCGTACCCGCGACACCCACTAGAGAGCAAAAATAACCGTTTGCTGGCCAGTCTCGGCCACTCTAGGAGCGAAGCGAAGGATCCCAGTCCTGCTTGGAGCGCTCCATCTCCGGAGTTCTATCACGGGCAGTCACTGGGGAAGCCTCTGGTCCTTCAGGCTGCCCTGCATGGACAGTCTTCCATGGGGAACGGGAAAAGTCAGCCTACCTCCAAGCTTGCCAAATCCAACGGCCTGGAGGGCAGCTGGTCTGGAGATGTCACCCAAAAAGACAGCTCGGGTGCGATGTTCTGTGACCAGGAGTCCATGCTCAGCTCCCACTTGGCCAGTCAGGGCACCTTTAGGAAATCTACCGTGGAACACTTTAGCAGGTCCTTCAAGGAGGCCACCAGCAGGTGGGTGAGGACCGCAGAGGACCTCCAGTGCTGTGCAAAGCCAACCAAGAATATTAACCCCAAGGAGCAGCTCTGGGGCAAGCAGCTTGTCAAGCGGTCTGCAGGGAAAGCTCCCTATCAGGAAAACGATGGGTATTGCCCAGATTTGGAGCTGAGTGATTCAGAGGCAGAAAGTGATGGGAATAAAGAGAAAGTCAGGGTAAGGAGAGTTAGCTCAGACAGGGAAAATCCTCCCCATGACTCTCGACGGGATTGCCACGGCAAAAGCAAGACACATCCCCTTTCCCACAGCTCGATGCAGAGGTGATCAGCAACCTCCAAGAATACGTTAATCTTTGCCTTTGCCCCATACATTGGGGGAAACCACACCAAAAGGATTCTAGCGTATGTTAGGAGGAATTGTAGTGAAAAGAATAAAACGTTTCCACAGTAAATTGGCTTGCAGCTTTTGAAACACTTTCAAGTCTAGTTTTCACAAGCACATTATAAGAATTGCAGATTATCCGGAAGTTTTCCTGCCAGAGGCTGTCGAGAACGGCTGGGCCTAGAGTACTTGCTCAGTAAATACTTGGGGACAGCTCTCCAGTCACATCAACACATTGACGCACATACGTATTAAGAGTCCTTGCGTCCTTCATGGATTTGCAAGAGACCATGATTATCAGACACTAAAACTACTTATCTTTTGAAGCTACAGCGTGTGACTCCCAGAGCCCCTGTCTGTAGGCAGTTTCTAACTCCACTGGTACCTGGAAACCCGCTTCGGGGAGAGACCAGGAACCAACATCTCAGATACTGTCAGACTCACTACCCTCTTCCTTTGCTCTGCACAAGGTTGAGCTCTTTTTGCAGTACCTTACCAAGTCAATACTCCTAATGCTTCTGAGTGTCCAGTGCCTGTTCCTAGACTTGCTTGTTGGGGACGCACTTGTAACTACTTCACCCGTCTAACAAGCATAAAAGGCTAACTTGTGGATAGTGTTTACAAAGGTACAAAAAAAGTACTACTTCCAAGGAAAATGCTCTGATTCTTGCAACTTAGGCATTTGTGAAGGATCCCAGAGCCTTTCCCAAAGTGAGACCAATTCTGGGGGATTTGTACCAGGTCAGGGTTTTTGTGTTATTGTTTTCAAATCAGTTTGACTTAAATAAGTTTGGCTGACAGTTTTTGTATACCTGCTTTAATGTTTATAAAATTTTTATTGAGGTATAATTAAAATATAGTAAAATGCACAGAGGTTAAGTATTCTTACCTGCTTTAATTTTGAAACAGATTTTTATTGTCAAACAGAATTTGAAAGCATGTGTTTAACACATGGATATAATTTAGCTTTGTACCAACTTTGAATCCGAGGCAGTTTCCCAAACAAAAAGGCTGGAGCCATTTTTCAGAAGTTGCTTATACCCTGTTCCCAAACTATCAGCCTTGATTGATTTCTGGGAGGAAGAGAATAATTACATGTTGCGGGGGGGGGGGTCTAAAACATGTCTGCTTCCCATTTAAAGAAGGGGGAAATGTTACAGTTTTTAAAATGTGAAGCCGACTATAGTTCTCTGCTCTCTTTTCTTCTTAGCCTTAAATTAATATTCTCTTTCTTCTAGTTTGGGAAAGTGTAGTGGGAGTTTTCAGACAAAAGAGGCCATTTTTAGATTTTTAACGTTACTTGCTGGTGAACCAACAGCCCCACTGCGGTAGGCGCCGGGCAGCCTGGGGCTCCTCCGCTCTCCGCCCTCCGCCAACATGGGAAACACAGCCCTGCTCCTCTCCCCGCTTCCGTTCCTGCAGCCTTGTTCGTGGGTTCCGTGGCTTTTGCTTTGTTCCTCCTTTTTGGAAAACTTCTGCATTTTGCCTCCCCTTTGGCCACACCTTGACAATGTTTCTTCTATGCCTGTGTACGTGTGTGAACACGCCGTAGCATGTGTGGTAGGCATCCCGTGTTCTGTTCCGATGGAAACAGCGATGAATTCTCCAAATGAGGGAGACCGTTTCCCGTCTGTATGCACTAGGTTCCTGTCCTTTTTCCCTGAGTTCTGCTGGGGTGGATGTGAATTTGACACCTTCCTGGGAATTAAATTACAATGGAGCTGTGTTCTAAACTCCTTCTGTTCAAGGCCAGTACCACAGCCTGTGTCCTTTCATGCCTTTTGGTTCTGAGTGAGTGCGAGGAAAAGCAAACATTGAAAAAGTGCTTCAGCCAAATTCCATATGTAATGCCATTGGGAGAGGATTGACTAAAATCATTTCAGTCAGGGAAATATAGTTGTAATATTTTTACAGGATTTTCCTAAGTAAATGAAGGAGCCTTCAGTTGTGTAAATTTCAATTGCCCCAAAATGTATTTGCTACATTTTGCTGTTGTTTGAAGTATTACCTCTTAACCTTCTTTTGTTAATTTTTTTTCATTTTGTCTTATATAGTCCAGTTTTCCAAGATAAACTCAGTCTTTTTTCAAATGTCACCTTTTTACCAATACTTTTTCATTAAATTATGAAAACTGGTAACTGCTGTCAGTGTGATCATTTCTTAATTTGGCATATGGGTTTTAGAAAATCTTACATGTTCCTTTTATATTTAAAAAAATCTTACTCATTAAGCAACACAGATGGTGGGGGGAAAGGACAGAGCGGGGGAGGGGGGAGGAGGAGGAATTGAATGTTTAGCAGCACAGATTCATGATTCATGTCAATACCGGGGACCAAAGAGAACTCTGGCACCTTGGACTCTATCCCGAAATCATGATTACATCAGGCGAATAAGACAAAACCTTAGGCTCATCATTTAAAATCACCCAGGAAATGGATCCTATCTAAAGTCACAAAGTCCAAAAGACTTAGATCGGGCATCACTTAAACATACACTCTACAATATTCATTCTATCTGGAGTCATGTGAGTGTGTTACTAGTAGCGGTACGGGTTTTGCAGTGTCGTGGGGGGACTCCGAGGGCATTACAAACATTTTCTCAAACATATGTTTGAGAAGTGTACTTACCAAAGGTCATCGGATAAATCGGTAGTGAAGATAGTTAATAGCTTAGGTTGTTTTTCTCCCCCTTCCTCCCTACTCCCTCTCTCTCTCCCGCCTTCTCTCTCTTCCTCCCTCTCCCCCTCCCTCTCTCATTAATGGCTAACTCTTTTGATTCAGTACATTGTTAGCTAAGATGTTGGAGAACTGAAATTATAAATATACCCTGTTTTACCCAACAAAAGCTTTGGGGTTTTTTTTAAGATTTTATTTATTTGGAGGGGGGCGGTGCAGAGGGAGAAGCAGGCTCCCCGCGGAGCAGGCAGCCCGATGCGGGGCTCCATCCCAGGACCCCGGGATCATGACCTGAGCCGAAAGCAGAGCCCCCCAGGCGCCCCAAGCTTTGGGTTTATACCAATGTCTATATTGCCAGTGGGAGATAAAACCTTTGTCTTTGTGTTGAAGAAACTGAAATTCAGAGAATAAACCAGACAATGCATAGCCCTGGGGTTTTTTTTTCCCCTCCTGGGCTTTACAATCCTCAGCATGTTTGCTGACCCTTAAGAATTGAGAAAAAACACTTGATAGGAGTAAAACCTTATCACTGAGTAACTTTCATGTGGTATTTTCCAGAAATGTATCTTAGTCATAATAAACACGTATTAGATTTTCACAGCATTAATTCAACTCTTTTCAAGTTTTATGGAAAGCAGGAACTGTGTGTTGATTTTTTTTTTCCACAAAATCACTTTTGAGTTGATAAAGGCCTGCTCTGAGGCGGTCTCTCCTCAGGAGCTCTGTAACCCTCAGCACTGTTTTTAAAGGAGGCTTGTGTGAATTCAGTTCGTGTTCCTGTGTTCCTTCGGGGATTGGAACTAATCGGATGGCCTGAAGCTGTGAGGATAGATGTCCTTGAAGTGAGTTGAGGTGGGGGCGGCTCCAGACCCAGACTGGTGTCCCCGGCCCTGTTCGGTCACTGATGAGTTCTTCCGCCTGAAGGTCCCTAAATCTGAATCGTCTAGATAACCTTTCGGAGCAGCGAGCATTTCTCCCCTGGTTAAGATGGGTTTGGGCGGACACCCCAAGGTCTCAATCTCCGTCCCCTCCCCTCACTGCGCCTCCCGCGCCACCTTATCGATTTGCTGGAACCCGGCTGGAAAGGGGGAGCTGGGCTGATGAAGCTGCACCCCTTACAGCGAGTGACCTCAGCGTGGAAACCACCTGCAGCCGCATCCTCCAGTCCGCATGAGCTTCGAAAGTATCGCTTCTGTAAATCACACAGGGACATGGGTCTCATTGTTTCCACATGACGAGGAAACTTGGAACTAAGAGTTGCTGACATTTTGAAAATTAGCACCTCGTTGACATAATCCCCTCCGCTTCAAGAGAGAAAGACCCTCCGGCTTGGGCGGTTAGCGCTTCCGATCTTTGAGCTGCTTCAGGGAGAGCACGTTACACGCTTAGCTCCGGCTTCACATCAGCCCGGGATAACACTGAACAAGACCAAGCGGGGGCTGCCTGCGTCTTAGGGGCAGAATCCGTGCCAGTGTCCTTGTCCGCCCCCCCACGCCCGGCCACCCCGTCCTCAAAGATGGGCTGGGAAAGGGGCGCCTGGGTGGCTCAGGCGTTAAGCGTCTGCCTTCGGCTCAGGTCGTGGTCCCAGGGTCCTGGGATCGAGCCCCACGTCGGGCTCCCCGCTCGGCGGGAAGCCTGCTTCTCCCTCTCCCGCTCCCCCTGCTCGTGTTCCCTCTCTCGCTGTGTCTCTCTGTCAAATAAATAAATAAGATCTTTAAAAAAAATTTATTAAAAAATTTTTTTAAAAAAGATGGTCTGGGAAGTACACTGGCGAAGAGCTGGCTAAAGGGAGCTTTCAAGACAACTACTTAGGTCCCTTAGGGAAGCCAACCGAAACCAAAACCCTTGGTAGGACGGTCCCTGAAACTTGTTTGGGACCAGTCAAGCCTTCACATAGTAAGAATGGCAATATTCACTGAGCCCTTACTCTTGAGCCCTTTTACATGAACCACCTTCTATTTAGTTCTCATGACAGCCACATGAAGGTGACACACGAGCTCTGTGTGACGCATGTAAAAACGGGCCCGACAGTTAAGACAGGTTATTCAAGGTTCCGCAGCTAGTACACAGTAGGACTGGGACTAGAACCCGTGAGGTCGCCTCTACACCTCTTACTCTTGGCCACTTTGCTTGACTCTATGCCCCAAGCCCCTTCTCTAAGTGTCCCTGCTCCGCTTCTCCCTGAAGAAAGCAACCCAAGTTAGGATTCAATCCCATGAGTTCTGTACCATTGATCCTTGCCACCCTGGACAGAGATGATGGGACCAGAATTCGTCATCTGACACAAAGGCACACAGTTCAGAGGCTCCCGTCCAAAGAGCAAGAGAATTCACACCAACCTGGACGGGACGGGTCTCACAGGGGAGCGAGGACCTGGTGGACTTGCCTTCTGCAAAGCTGGTCTACCCTGTAACTAAGCGTGGTTGGCGAAACAATGGCCCTCAAAGATGCCCACAGCCTCATCCCTAAAACCTGCGACTGGGTTACCTTGCATGGTAAAGGGACTTTGCAGATAAAACTAAGCTGAAGGACCTGAGATGGGGAGATTATCCCTGACGATCCAGGCGGGACCAACCAGTCAGTATAAACGCGAGGGTAATTATGAGAGCGAGGCGGCAGGATCCACAGCAGGCTCGGTAGCAGTAGGCGATGTGACAGAGGAAGCAAGTGGTTGCAGCGATGCTGAGAAAGGCCATGAGCCAAAGGATGCGGGTGGCCTCTAGAAACTGAGAAAGGAAAGGAAAGGGATTCTCTCCTAAGGTCCTAGCCCTGCCTACGCCATGATTTTAGACTTCTGACAAACAGAACTATAAGGGAATAAATCTGTGTTTGGTGTTTAAGCCACCAAATGGGTGCTAATTTGCAGCAGCAGAAATAGGAAACGAATATACTAGGCATAGAGCAACTGCTCCTCGCTCTTTCAGAGGCACATTCCGCCCTCCCAAAGGGCCCACCTGGACTGTGGCTGACCACTCTAGCTTGCACCCAGGCTTTCTCTCCTGGTGGACACACTTTCTGGAAATGGAAAATAAGTGGGGTTTTTTCCTGTCAATAAGATCCTCCCCTGCAGAAATTTGTTTTCTATTTCCTGCCCCCCCCCACCCCCGCCGTGCTTTCTCCAAGGGAGCCCTTTGGTACTTCTCAGGCAGCCATGAGGTGGTCTTCTGTGGGTCTGATGGATCCACTGTGGCTGGATCCGGCACTGCCTGAGTAGTTGCCAGAGGCTTGGATGCCCCTGTTGTCTGAAAAACTGTTGGGAGGAAGTGGAAATAATTCTCCGAGTGTTACCCTAGTGGGGAGGTGAAAGAAGGCAGGTGGGGCTCATCATGAGGAACGATGCTCTACTTACCATAACCTCCTACAAGGAAATGGGTAGCTTGGAGAGTTAGAAAGTTCTTGAAGATCTCAGACAGCTGAGCAGAACTTGGGGATTAAAGAATGCAACTCGATGCTGCCTAGAAGAAACCCACTTCTAAATATAAAGACACAAATAAGCTAAAGCTAAGGGGATGGTAAAAGATACCATGCTAACACTAACCAACAGAAAGCCAGAGTGGTTCGGGGCACCTGGGTGGCTCAGTGGTTAAGCGTCTGCCTTCAGCTCAGGTCATGATCCCAGGGTCCTGGGATCGAGTCCTGCCTCGGGCTCCCTGCTAGGCGGGGAGCCTGCTTCTCTCTCTGCTTCTCTCTCTGCCTCTCTCTCTCTCTCTCTCTCTGACTCTGATGAATAAATAAATAAAACATTAAAAAAAAAGAAAGCCAGAGTGGTTCTATCAATACCATACAAAGGCAAATTCATCAAGAGAACATAAAAAGCCTAGGTGTTTACGCACCTCATAACACAGCTTCAAAATACATTAAGGAGAAAATGATAGAACTGCAAGGGAAAATGAATAAACCAACAACTATAGTTTGTCTATAATTAATAGAACAAGTACACAGAAAATCAGTAAGAACATAAGAGATTTGAGGGGCACCTGGGTGGCTCAGTCGTTAAGCGTCTGCCTTCGGCTCAGGTCATGATCCCAGGGTCCTGGGATCGAGCCCCGCATCAGGCTCCCTGAGGGAGTCTACTTGTCCCTCTCCCTCTGCCTCTCACCGCCTCGTGCTCTCACTCTCTCTCACTCTCTCAAATAAATAAATAAAATCTTAAAAAAAAGAACATAGAATATTTGAACAAAACTATCAGCCATCCAGATTTCATTGACATTTGCCATTCCATCCCTCAAGAGCAGAATACACATCCTTTTCAAATGCAGATGAACGCTTACCAAGATAGGCCATTAAACAGGTCTTAAAAAATTTAAAAAGATTCAAGTCGAAGTATGGTTCTCTGACCACAATGGAGTGAAATTAGAAATCAGTAACAGAAACACTCCTGGAAAATGCAATCATTGGACACTAAACAAACTTCTAAATAACACACGAATCAAAGAACTGAAATAGGGGGAGCCTGGGTGGC